TAACATCAGAGAAAAGTGTAATTAGGATCAGGGAGAGCTATTCAGCAATGCGAGCACATAAACAAACATCCTAACCTCCCACCACACACAAGCAGGAGTCCAGGCCATGGACTCTATCTGCCCAGTCTCAAGGCAAAGTATGACTACTGTTGGGGTGAATGCTTTGAGCTCTCACACTCTGAACTCATAGCACTTTCAAACCATAACTTCATTTCTTTGGTCTGTGCTGTGTGTGTGAGTCAATCTCTGGGTGAGTCTTCACTTCTTGTGAGGATTAGTTGCATTCTATTGATTTAGCTCAACATGTCTGGTGATAGCTCTTTCACAAGTTAAATTCATACAATGGTGCATAGTTTAGGAGTCTTCAAGCGTATTAATATCATGTATATATGGCATTGAATGTCATGTACTGGATCATAAAAGATTCTTTAAAGGATTCTTCAAAGGTTTCACAGAAGACATTTGCATCATGCATATATGTTGGCTGTTTGTGTGTGTGTGTGTGTGTGTGGGTGGGTGGGTACACACACATCAGTCTATATGTGAGCTTCAAGTATACAAATATCCCACTCCTGAGACAGTTCTCATTGTGATAATACCCTGTGTTCCTGAAGTTTTAGTCCCAAGACAAACCCTGGAGATCTTCCTCACTCCTTTCTAGACCAGAAGAAGCTTTAGCAAACCTCCTGGTTGCATTTCTATCATTTGACCCATTTGACCCATTCTTAGAAAAGTACACATGGAGTGGATTTGATCTGCACACATGGCCAGTTTCCACACAAACTAGTAATTATACAAACAATTGCTGATTTTCTTAAATGACACAATAAATAATTAAAGAAAACTAACATACATAATGCTTTCTGATGATTCATAAAGGAGAACGTTCACATTAAAAAAATACCTTAAAATATAATTTAGTTCACTTTAATTAAAATTAGACAAACAAAGGAAAATTATGGCAACAATTTCTTAGTGTGGGTTCAAAATATGACTACTGAGACTATTTTATAGTCATACTTCTAAGAGAAAGATACTATTTCATGATAAAAATAAGACAAAATGGTGACTTTTACATAATTACAATGCCTCCTTGTCCCCCTTTTATAATCAAAACTTGATGCCAAGTACATAATGCAAAACAAGAAAAATAAGACTAACCACTTTAATGTTGTATTTTATTACTTTTTAAAATTGTACAAAGAGTGCATGTGCATGAGTTAAAAAAAAACACAAGGGAAACACAGGGTGTTAAAAAATACAAAAGAAATTTGAGACATGAAACAAAAAAAATTGTTTTGCAAACCAGAATAAAGACAATTTGCCTACTAAAAAAAGTGTTATTCCAATATATTAAGAAGTGTTTTGATTAGGAATACAGCACAAGACTTTTCTGCAACTATTCATTAACAGATTAGACTCAGTCTCAGTGAATACAGGATAGATCAATACATTATCTTACCAGCCACAGCAGACTACTCAGTAGATGTGGATATGGTACAATGTCTGTGAGGTATTACAATAAATAAATTCTTTTCAGCTATTCAAACTCAGCAATGGATGTCACCATTTCAATTTTCAGTTGGAAGACCTCATCGCCAGTTTCTTTTCTCATCTGTGAGAGTTTTTCACACTAAGAAAAAAAAAAAAACACAAAAATATTTGTGATGAGGTATTAAAAAGCAAAATGCTACATTTTGTTGTATGTTTTTCTAACATAGTCTGTGGACTGAAAATGGGCTGTTTTTGCAGACACATAAAGGACCATGGCTATGGTAACACAAGAATTTCCTTTAAAGCATTTCAGGAAAGGGTCAACTATTAACATGCCTACATTTTTGCTTTATGTCTCAACCACTGCCATGGAATGAAAGAGCTAACGTATGCTGAGTACTGCTAGTGCAGACAATTAGCCATGATTCTGGCTACATCTGCTGACAGCTTGCACCTATGCTGGCTTCTCAATGTCTGTGTATCCATCTACCACTTTTTCTTTTTTTAAAAAAAAAATATTGTATTATTTCTTATTGAGATGTAATTGACATATAATATTGTATTAGTTTTAGATGTACAACATAATGATTATATATATTGTGAGGTGATCCCTAGAATAATGCTAGTTAACATCATTACATTACCATTTATGGTGACAAAATTTTTTTTCTTGTGATGAGAAACTTTTAAGATCTATTCTCTTTTCACTTAAGTAATTCAGCAGAGTAGTTGCAACTACAATTTTTTGTCTATTTGCCTTGTATTTCTGAAGTTGAAATGTTTTTCTTCGATGAGTTGAAGGGATTGATTGATTGATTGATTGATTTTTTGAGGGATGCGCTGGTGATGGGAGAGCTATGGTGACCACACTTGAAGGGAGAAATGCTATACTCTCAAAATATTAACAAGGATGTAAAACAATGATACCTCATGAATAAATGAATTAAATTTTTAAAAAAGATTTTAAAGGATTTAACAATGTGTCCCACCTGAGGCACGTCGAGCCCTACTGCTAGAATGACAGCTTTCATTTTGGATACTAGAAAACATCTGAGTTACATCCCAGTGCAGGACTATAGTGGATTGATACCAGACTAGGTGGGTCTAAATCCTAGCTCTGCTACTTGCTATTTTTGTGACCTTAGACAAATTAATCATCCACTTAGTCTCACTTGCCTCAAGTATAAATGGAGACAATAGCAACACCCACATTTCATAGGACTGCTCTCCTATTAGTACACATAAGTTAGGGTTTGCAAATTAAACAATGACTGACACAGAGACATTCTGGCTAAACATGAATGAATTTATTCTTATTCTGCAGAAATCTGGAACTCTGGGGAATTCATACACAGAGAATTCAGAAGTCAGATTTGGAATTTATACTTCATAAATTTATACCTATACTGAAAATGTTAAATTTTACATTAATAAAATTTGACTGAAGTTAATGTAAATAAGACAAATCTGGCTATATGCTTAGATTCATATATTTTGAATTTTACTTTGAATCTACTCAAAGAAAATGTACTTTGTTGTTGTAGTTTCATTTTTGACTTACTTCAACAAAAGTACTACTCATATTTCTAAAAGTGGTTTTTCACTGTCCTGCTTTTCTTCAGCATCTTCTTCAGATCCTACATCGTAGAAAAGGGGGAGGAGAAAGGAATAATATCCCATTAAAGTAACAAATGATTTATTTACAATTATAATATACATGCACAATATTTTATTTTATTTTTAAAGATTTATTTATTTATTTTATACAAGAACCGGGGTACAGGCCAGATGCGCGGGAGGGTGAGAGGATTCAACAGAGACAGAGCGGGGAACAGAACAGGCAGACTAACAACATACAATGCTGAGGAGAGCAGCGGGTGTGACAGGAGAGGTTTGCCGCGCCATGTGAGACCCTCGCCAGCTGGCTGGGATCAAACCGGCACTGCAGAGGCTGCGGACAGCTTCACAGGGCTGCGCTTAACCGCCTGTGCCACCAGGGGAGGCCCAGGCATAATATTTTAAATGGGATGTTAATCAAGAAATTTAGGTTAACAAAACTTCACCTGTAAATAGTTTTATTTTATTTTATTTTTTTTTGTGGAGAAAACACCTTTAAAATAGGCTCTAACATTTGCTCTAATCTGTCGAAAAGGATACTGTTTATGTACTACTAAAAATATTCACGCAAACCTAGAATTACCATCCCCTATAGGAAGCTTTACTATAGAGAACCTTCTTTTCTAAGCACATTAATTCCAATTACGGTTTTTAATTTCATTTCTTTCCTAAGTGGAATTTTCAGGCAACAGAAATATAATATAAACTAAGCTCTTTAAAATACTCTTTCTCTGCCCACCACAAATCTGCATTTGTTGTCAATACAGTCACCCTGGGGAAGGATTCTTGTGCAGCTTATTTGCAATGGAATGGTAATGCTTCTGACCACCACTAGGTGGTAGTAAAAGTCACAGATGAGAAGTCGGGTTAGAAACAAAGTTAAGTGAAGAATCCCTGAGGAGGTATTCCTCAGGTTAGCATTATGTTCTATTCTGAATTTCTAATTAGGAAACACATTAACGCTGAGAAATTTTTTTTTAAAAGGGAAGAATTAATTTTTTTAAAGATTTATTTATTTATTTATACAAGCACTGGGTACAGTTAGAAGCACGGGAGGGTGAGAGAATTCACCAGAGCCAGAGCGGGGAGCAGAGCAGGCAGAAGGACCGAAGCACACCGCTGATGTGGGGAGCGGCGGGCAGCAGGAGAGGTCTGCGCGCCATGTGGGACCCTCCTCCGGTGGCCGGGGAGCAGCCGGGGATCAAACCGGCGCTGCAGAGGCTACCCAGCGCTCAACCACTGCGCCACAGGGGAGGCCCAACACTGAGAAATTTTTAATTAGTCTTACGTAAATAAAAGCTATACAAAGCATGAACTATACAACACAAATTTTCTTTTTTGAAAAAGAATGAGTCCTATTCTGGGTTCGGCTCGTTGACAAATTTATTTCATCTGACTCATTTTGTGTTTTATATTCAACTAGTCCAGGCATCCAGTTACTTGGAGTTTCCCTAGCGCCACAGATTACAATGCTATGCCCTTGATAAATCATAGGGCTCTTTCTGTCTAACACCTATTTTACTCTACAGACATTCTACTTATAATGGTTCTATATACAGCTTTTCAACTTTACAATGGTGTGGAACCGGTACACATTCAGTAGAATGAATGTGTCTAGTGACACGCTGTAGACATGCTGTAGTGTCTTTTCTCGGTCTCGTGACATGCTGTAGAATACTCATGATGCTGTACAGGTCAGCTCCCAGTCAGCATCACGGATCACCAGAATAAATAAGCAATACCCTATGGTGTACTGTGTTGCCAGCCTAAGTGTTCTGAGCATGATTAAGGTTAGGTTAAGCTGTTTGATAACTTGGGTGTGTAAGAGATGTATTTTTACTTGTAGTAATTTCAACTTACCTTGGGTTTCACCCCATCATAAGTTCAGGAAGATCTATATTGTATGTGTTTGTGTTTAAAATATTTACTAAGCTTATTACTGGGAATGAAATAATGTAGTTAGTACCTAACTCAAATTTATATCCTAGAGGTAGAAACAGTCCAGGTCATTGCTGAAGACACTGCAGATAATACAAGATGATAGGGCTGTGGAAAAGGTCCTAAAAACTTATGTAAAGGACACCCTACGTGCAACTGAGAAGCAGGTGAGGGTGGGGAAAGAAGCCTTTTGAACATGTTGGTGACAAGGACTGCAGATGGATAGCATTAAAGATAGTAAAAGCAAGATGCACAATGGTTTGTGGGTACTGGTACACATCATTTTCAGAAAAGTTAAGAAGTGAATATATGGAGATGGTTACCAAGAAGAGAGGTTGGACAATTGGGTAAGAGTGGTCACAGGCGTACCTTCTGCCAGGCTAAGGATTTATGACTTTCTTAGTCTTTTATGGCACTGAAGGTTTTTGGGCAGAGAAAAGAATATGATCAATTATGCATTTTCATTAACACTGAAAGGCCATATATTTATTAGCTATAAGTAGGGACCCTAGCTCTGGAGCCAGAGTTCAAATCTTAGCTCCACCTCTTACTCTTTGTGTGAAGTTAGACAAATTACTTCACCTCTCTGTGCCTCAATTTGCACATTTCTAAAATAGGGATAAAATAGGTTTTTTACGTCATAGAATGGTTATAAATAACCCTGAGAATATACAGCAATTATTTTTAACATGGTATTTTTAACACAGTATTCTGGTGACTGGTTACAAGAAGGCAACTGAGGCAGGGAGACAGGAGGCTGTTGCAGAAACTGAAATAAAAAAATACTGAATTGATGATGGAGATATTAAGTAGTATAATTTGAATGAGATAAAAGAGGCACAAATAGAGGAAAACAGCTTGGCAATTTATGGAATGTGAGCCTTAAAAAGGGAGCTGAAAAAATAAATAAATAATTGAAAAGGTGCTGACTTCCCAGTGAGGCTCTGTTTTCTCACCTGTGTAACACAATGGATAACACTGCCATTCACAAGACATGGGGAATCTTGGAGGAATTTGAGTTAAAGGGAGATAATAAAAAGAGCATCAAAACCTTTTCCTACCTGTCTTCCAAGAGGCAGATGATAAACCACAGTGTCTATGACCCTCTATTACATTTATTTTCACAATTTTGTGTCTCACCACTGGTAGCACATCAAAACCATGCCTTAGTAAGGGCCTGGTAGTTAAGTGTTTGCTACATGTACTGAGATGTAGATGCATAAAGAGGAGGGGAGGCAAAACTTTTGAATGATGGGCAAAAACACAAATGACAAATTTTTACCTGCTTCAGATTCAGGAGGAGAATAAAACTGACCATCAGAAAGACCACCAGGTATAAGTACAGCACGCTCTGAAGCATCCTGAACTATCAGGAGTCCTGGAAGAGAAGAAATTCAGTGGCTGGGGATGACGTCACCATCTGGATAGCTTCTTGGTAAAATTAACCACAATAAAATGATAGTATTATATTAAAAACACTCTTAGCAAACAGAGGTACTTTTAAAATCTTTCAACCAAAAAAATTTTTTATTAATAAACCATGAAAAAAGTCCTGGAAGGACAGATTCCAACTAGTTTTAAAAATTGCCTCATGCTACTCATGGGATTTTCTGACTCAGAATTCACAGCACCTTTCCCTTGGGAGTACCTACCTCCATACAGAAAACAACATCATCATCAAAATTAAAGCAGTGAGAAAAACAAAACGTGAGCACATACAAATGATCTGGAGTCTGCATTTGTTGACAGATGTAAAGCATTATAAATGGATAGTCTTTTATAAATATATAAAGATTTAAGATGGTGATTTATGCAATATAAAAGTCACCCCATAAAAGAAGTGTATTTAAAAAAAAACAAAGAAAGGAGAAGGAAGCATGATGTGGATGGCACACGAACACTAACACAGACGAGAGAGATCATCAACAATGAGTTGTTTTGACCAAAGCAGCAGTTCAAACAGCAGGTGCCAGTTTATGTATGTAACATATATTACAAATAATGATGATAAATGCTACTTGAAATTTTTCATTGTGTGCTCTGTTTTATTAGCTTCTTTGATTTAGCTTAATCACTAAGCATGGAAGCTTTAGTCACAGTAGTTGCCAGGCTTTCAATAAAATTCAATTTGATTTTTATATACGATTTTTCGAAAAAGTGACTTCCATTAGTTTTACAACCAGTGTCCATAATACATTTTCATAAAGGAACAGAAGGTATGGTGTAGAGGACATGGCTTAGACTGATTAATACGTGCTTTCTTTTTAACAATTGTTTATTACAGTATTAAAACAAACAACATAAATAAGACAGCCTTTTAAATAAATAGATAAACAAGTAACATTTTCCATTTATAATCAACAAACGAAGTTTGGAGTGATACATCAAGGTTGTGCCCCAATGACTTTTTTTTTAAGATTTTTTATTTATTTAGTTATGCAATAGCTGGGGTACAGGCCAGAGGCGCAGGAGGGTGAGACAGAGTGGGGAAAAGAACAGGCAGAAGGACCGAAGCACACTGCTGAGGGGTGCAGCAGGCGAGACAGGAGAGGTCTGCCACGACATGTGGGAATCTCCCGGGCTGGCTGGGAATTGAACCGGCACTGCAGACACTGCGGACAGCTTCACAGCGCTGTGTTCAACCCACTGTGCCACCAGGGAGGCCCCCCAATGACTTTTTTTTAAGGGTATTTCATATACTTTTTTTTTTCCTAATAATCATAAAGTTCAATCATCTGTCTTTCTCATTAACATCTAGGAATACCTAAAGTCACACAGAGTGATTATAACAGCTTTGCTTGACTCATGATTATAAAATCCTACTTATCCTTCAACTACTACTCAGAGAAGGATGTTTACACCTGAGATGGCTGAGCATTTTCTGGCTTGCTTTCCTCCTCCTCTGAATTCCATCTTAATCATTAACCCATCAACAGCCCTGCTTTCGGCACTCAACTGATATAATTACAGCTCATTCAAAGCCAACACCTGCTATATGGACAATAATGTGAGAATTTGGGTAATGAATGATTTTTATTCAGAATTGCTATCTCAACTCACCTAAAACTGGTTTACATTTCTTTGTGACTAAGTAACATAGTTATTTGGATGGACAAAATGCTTACTGTTCTATGACTATTATTAAGAAGGAGAAAACATCAACCTAAGAGAGAGGTGTTGGTTATTTTGTTGTTTGAATGTCTTCTTTACTATTGTCCACACTTTCTTCCAAGGAAGCCTGGCCTAACAGCTAGAGCGAAGAGCCACGTAACTATACTTTCATCTAACTCTTTCCATTTCTGCTGTCCCCACTGAAGAATGAAGACACCGAGGCCTGACTAATAACCACCTGCTGCTCTATTCAAATCAAGGCATCTATTTCTTTTCTTTCCAGTTAGTACCTAGTCAGTCACAAGAGACTAACCTAGAAAGAAACTTACTGTTTTCTTCTTCAGCTTCTTGAGGTAACACTTTGAAATCCAGGAACCATGTCTCAATCCAGGCAAGTATGAATGAAATGATGGGCAGCACATAGCCAAAAGCCCCTTGAGAGAAAAGCTAGAACAGATGTGACCAGAAATGGAAATGCAATTATCATATGTTCATACTGGAGAATGAGGCCTCTTCATAGATGGTAGTTATACAGAGTGGTAGGCCATACCTTTGAGAGGATCACTTTTGCTAGTAAAAAGGCACTGGTCACTGCTGTTGTCAACTGAAAGACATACAATCCAGTACCATTCAAATTACACATTTTATGTTGTGAAGGCATATTCCTCACACACAAAACCCACCTGAGCCAAAAGCACATAATATCTGAAAAAGCTATGCCTGGCCTGGCTCCTTCTTCTACCTCTATCTCTATCCCCAACTCTACCAACTAAACCCTGACTGGGGCAAAGTGAGCTTCTATGTGCCATACAACCCCTGACTGGCTACTTCGGGTTTCCTTACCCCCACGTTCAAGCATGCAGGTGAGCTGGGAAATTAAGTTTTGTCCACCAGGGGGTACAATTTGCAAAGATACTAGCACCACATAAGGATGGTGCTCTGCAGTGAAATGCAGAGTCAGGGCATGCCCTAGGTCTTGGTATGCTCGGAGATAATCCCACAGACCCTGGGCCTCTCATTCCATCCTCCAATGAAGACTTGTAGCAATAAGAAACCTGGCCAAAATGAATGACAACAGTAGACTTGACTGAGAGAATGGATGCAGGGGACATTAGGTGTCATGCTCAGTAAGTATTAACAAAGTTGCAGAGTCAGTATTTGTTAGCAAAAAGACCACCAACCAACACACATACAAACACACCCTCTGCAGAGTGAGCTACCTGTAAAGGACGTATTTACATTCTGATACTAGTTAACTTTACAGGCTCTTTAGATGATCTTTAGGTATCAGCTGACTTTTCATTTCAGTTGCCTCTCTGCAAATGTTTTTGAATGCAAGAATCAGAAACAATAAAATGGATGTTAATATGAGCAGTTCCTTTGATAATCTGAACTTTGGTATCAAAGATACTATCCAAAATTCTCACTGAATATCTCTATTTGAACCACTTTTCTGAAATGAACATTGAGACAGATTACCTCACAAATACTAGTATACATTATTATTAAGAGTCTGGAATATCAATGTCCTAAACAGGGACTTCTGTAGAAAATTGAGATGGGACAAAAGAATTTGGTTATTTGACAAAAGAATCTAGGAAAGGGAGTCCAGTCTGACTAAAACGGTTAGTCTACACATGACAAATGTGGGTTTGGGGCTCAACAGAATCAGGCAGAACTGCTTGAAATTTTTCTTTCACTTCACTATGCATCTATTAAGGGTGAACACATTTGCCAAAGCTCTATGCTAGATATGAAGAAAGATGAGCAAAATCACCACTGCTTTCAAGAAGCCCAAAGGTAACAATAAAAAGGAATAGAGGTGTATTCCCCTTAAGATTGGAGAGAGGGGAATAAAGTAGGGAAGAAGTCAATTATCAAAATAAGCAGAGAGCAAGTTATATATATATATATATAAAAAATCACCAGCAGTTTCAACCAAACAAGGAATTTTTCAAATATCTTTGTGACAGAGGTACTGATCTCATCTCTCATTTGCAAAATTAGGTAGAGCTATGTTGGTGCTTGGTCAATAATCACTTTTGGGTCTCTGAATTCCTCATTTGGTTCCATATACATACAAAGATCATTATTCATTACAACTGAAAAGAAGCCCTGGAGTGTTAAAGCTACTGAAGTGTAGGGGAAGGAGTCTCAGGAAAAGCTAGTGGAATTCAACCCAAATCAACCCTGCATTTTCTCCCCGCTCAGCCCTGCCCTGATCAGGTCCCCGCCTCGAGCGCCGGAGAAGATGAACCACTCACCTAGGCAAAGGGCATACTCACCGCTATTGCCCACCAGTGGCGCAGTCTGCATACAGCATATGCAAGTATTAACACTTTAAATCGAAACACTGCCAAAAGCTATATATATAAACAAAGAGAAACATTTTGGTAAACATATACTAAAGTAAAGCAATTTGGTTTTATGAAAACCCCATCAAACTGTCTTCATTATTCTGACTTATCTGAAGGCTGCCACAGACTGGCATTGATTGGTCTTTAGACTAGCATTTAGGATCGCTGTTCTAGAATTTATGCAATACCATCCAAAAAATGAATTCAAATTATGTCCCTATTATTATTAAAATAGCTGTTTACTTTTCCTTCTTATTTCAGTCTATATATATTTCTGATATCCTTTAAAGACTGAGAAAATGTTCTAAAGGTTGACTTTTCCATTTTGGAAGACAGCAGGTTCTTAGTAAAGTCCTTGGCAAAGTCTAGGTCACTAGGATGCTGAACGGGTTCTGCACATTTTAGTAGCTATCATCTGATTAATGAGGGTGGTTCAGAGACTTATGTGAGACCCTTTGTGTTCTGCTATCCCATGTAATCCCCACTCCAACCATCCCAGGAGCCAACTACCATTACACAGATAAAATGAATAGAAAAATCATCCAAGGTCACACAATAGGATTCAAACCCAGGCAGCTTGAGTTGGTATCAGGCTCTGAACTGCAAAGTGAAGCTGTCCTAATAATTCTTTCCTAGTAAGGAACACAGAACTATATTTCACCAATTTTTCTTGGAAAATGTGCAATGTCTCAAGGTAGAGTCTGCCAAAGTTCCTCACTCATCAAAACTGATGAAAAGCTGGATGTTGACAACTTATTTGCTTCCATTGACTAGATGACTTCATGATTCTTTAATGTAAAGGAAATTCACAGGTTGTTCCTTATTTTAATGTGCTGCTTTTATTTAAAATGTGTTATTCAACCATCTAGTATTTGCTTAGTTTCCTTATTCTATCTGCATTTTGGACTTGGCAAAAGTATGTCTTTATCCTCTGTCTCAAAGACAGATCCCAAGGATTCCTGGAGTCCACTTCCTAGGCCAACCATGGCAATCTTTCTAATTTGAGCTAATGGGCCCCACCAACCTGTCCATTACCATTAACTCCCTAAGAATGGTGTACAGATAACCCATGGAGATCTGGCCAGTGGATTGATTTGGCTTCCTGGCAATTCCTGATTAAGGTTATTTTAAGATAAATTTAGCAAGAGAAATAAAAGAAAAAAGAGAAATCAGTTTGGATGCTATATGTCAATTGTTTTAGAAGAAATATCAAGATATTGGATCTACTACATTCTGCTAGCAACTTCAGTATCCTGGGATATGTCAAGACACTGAACCATGAGACTCAAATTCTTCATTTGGAAAAAGGAGGGGATTAAGTTATAGTAGGAGCTTCCTAAATATTCTGAAACTACTCAGGTTTCAAGGGAGTGACAAGAAACCCTGACCTTTCTTCACTGGGTGGGGATTCTACCTCTTTTCCCATACATAACTTCTGTGGGCAACTTCCAAAACAAAACAAATGATGATAGTGATTGCAGGTAACATTCTCTAAGCATCCTGGATGTATCCATCTTTGGGCCACGTGTTTTCCATGTATTATTTCATTTACTTTTCAGAACTATAACAATCTCATTTTACATGATGAAAACTGTACTTTAAACCTATTATATTGAAGTATATATACATTATCTGACAGTCAAAATCACAATGCATCCTAGAAAGACACTGTAAGCATTTGCTTGCATAAAATCCCTCATCAATATATAATTGCTTCTACATAGTTTTTAATGGTGCCCATTATTACCAATATGCAACTTTCCTCAAAAACTCCTTATAGAAAAATGAACATAGAATAATTATTAAAAGTATGCTCAGGTAGAAACTTATCAAAGGCAGAAATGGAATGGCATTTCCATTATGCTATTATATAAACAGGTGAAATTTCCTTTTGGTGATTAAGGGTATGTCTATGGGTATTTCATTTGAAAGAATAAAGGCTGTCCTCCAAGGAAGTCAGGATGGCCCTTTCTATTATCTGTCCTTATCTCTCAATTAATCTTCTCTTCCTTTGAGATGACCAGTAAATTGGGTGGAGACAGACAGCACTGAATGGGTCAGTAACTAAGGGAAAAAGGAAAGACAGTGTTCAAGGGAGGAAAAAAGAAAGGCACAGAATTTGAGGTTAATTACAAAGAAATCTTCCATTTAGTTTCATCATTGCTGAAATGAAATGTAAAACAGAAAATACTTACAAATATATCAAAATAAGAAGAGTAGTAGTCATACTGCACCACTTCCTTCTCTAATGCGTTCTCAATGCCTCCATTCACCTAGGAAGAAAAGAAGTAAAAACAAGAAATTTACGTGTGAAAATAATACAAGAGAACAATCATACAAATAAGGTTTCATATATACTTTCCTGCCTATCTTCTTAGAACCCAGAAATTCTGAAATATGGAGCAAAATAACCAGAATAATAGAGAAGTGCAAAAACAGCATCTCCCACTTCAATTCTGAATTTATTCAACAAAATAACAAATATATAGTGAAAGACAATGCCTTTTTGTAGTTCATATGGTGATAAACTATTAAAAAGAAACCTTTTTTTTTGTTTGTTTTTTTGGTGCCAAAACCCAAAAAAAGAAACCTTTTTGTAAATAAAATCTTCAATCTACAAAAGTATATTTTTGAAAATGACAATTTGTATTTGTTCAATGTTTCCCTCATTTTCTGATCACCCTCCACTGCTTTAGTTCTTAGAAGATCAAGGATCCCTTGCTAACAAGTATCAGTGAGGGCAGTGACCAAGACACAGGCTAGAAGTATAAAAATTCTCCCTGGTTTTTCTATTTACTCCTAGCATTTAAAAATACTGTACTCTTATAAATTATGTTGTACTATATAGACAACAAAATAAGGAATAGATAACAAAATTAAGAACTAAGTTACAGTAAATGAGGAAAATCACACCTAATAGGATAAATTTCTGTCCAATTTTCTGATCAAGATAAATTTTGATGTCTACATATCAAACTATAATTTTTTTCTTTTTTAATCAAGGAGAAGAACATATATTCAGCACCTAGTACTGTTCCCAAGCAGAGAGCATAACATACGTTAGGGCCCATGAATCAGCCCGATCATAGGCATGATTTACAAGTTTTCAATCTAGAGCACACTGTCTTTGCAAACTAAAGCAGCTGGTCTGAAAAGGGATAAATTGAAGGGCAATTAACCAAACTGACCTGGCTAAGAGAGAAAAAAAATCATTAAGGAATACCTTTGCAAGGTGTGCTCTTTGGTGAAATCAGAATAAAAGTTGCCACAAGGAAAAAATGCTTTTGGTTTAGTTTTCAAGTATTTGTTATGCAAGTGAAAGCATACTCTAAATGTGATTCCTATTTAAATCCCTTAAGATACAAATTTTTGCGTAATTGCTCAGGTTGGCTATAGAGCTGTTTGACTATGGATCTCCATAGATGAACAGAATTAAAAATTTGGCAGCTAAGAGTAATAATTATTAAAAATTATTTAGTCTCAATTGTTGTATCTCCAGACTAAAAATTTACACTATCCAAATTTTAAAAAAGGATCATTATTCCAAGTGGCCTTAGGGCAAAGAGGGGTTTCTAACCACAGAGAATACTTTCTGATGAAAAAAAATAGGAATCAAAGCTGCCAATAACTTTTCAATAGCAAGTAGAAAAAGGTTTTCTCTGGTATCTGCAAACTTTGAAAGACCCTGATTTTGTGCTACCTTTAAATAGAGAAATGTAAAACTCTACATCACTATCCTTAACTTGTACTCCACATTTTTACTTCAATGTCTCTAGCTCCTGATGTCCCAAAACATTCATCTTGAATTTCACAAGAAATCTTTTCCCAATCACAGTTCTGACAAAGCTGGTACTGTTCTTCCAGGATCCTTTATTAGAAATCTTAGTATCATCTTTTGACACAGAGGATGGCATAATAAGTCTATCAGTAAATCTGTTATTTCATCCTTTGATAATGTCTCTCAGGTTAGCATTTTCTTTTCTATTCCCACCACTTTACATGGGATTCCTTAAACAACTCCTGAGGTAGTTAATGTCCATCTGTTCCTAATTTAATACAATCTCCAAACCATTGTCATGATTTTACCTACCATTCACCAAGTATTTGAGTAGCTACTAAGTACAAACATTGTTCAAATACAAAAATACTTCAGTAAATAAAACAATGTGAGTTTATATTCTAGCAAGGGGAGAGAGATGACAGATAAGTGCTACACAGAGAAGGGAAGCTGGACAGTGTGACAGACAAATGACTGATTTTTTTGAGTGGTCATGGAAATCTGTGGTGACATTTAAACTGACTGACACCAAAATAAAAAGTTGGAGTCAGCATCAAGATAAAGAAAATTAATCATTTCACACAGAGGTAACGACTAGTATAAAGATCCAAGACAGATGAGAACTTGTTCATTTCTGAGAGCAGGAGGAGGCAGTCTGACGGATCCAGGTCGGCAAGGAACAGAGGGTGGAGAAAAGAGTGTGGAGACTCCTGGGCAATGACATAAGGCATTGTGTCATTTGTACATTATTTTAAGTGTTTTAAGAGATCAGTATGAAGAATTTTAAACAGTAAATTAGACTATTTGATTTATGTTTTTATTTTTAAGTCACTGTGCTACTCTGAAGAGAATGGATTATAGGAGAACAAAAGTAGAAGCAGCAGCAAATTAGTTCGGTACATGGTATCACAGAATGAGCAATAATGTTGGCTGTTGAAGGGGGAAATAACAAAAATGGAGAGAGGTCATGTTTTGAGTGTATTTTGCAGGTATGTTTGACAAGACTTACTTTTAGACTTGCTACAGAGAATGAGAAATACAAAAGTGAATCAAGTAAGGATGAGTCACTTTTGGCCTGACTGCCTGGGAACTGTTTACTGATGAAGAAAAAGGTGAAAGCAGATATATGTGTGCATGGTGTTGCAGGAGGAACATACTAAGTTAGATGTCCAAATGGATATAGCAGGTAGATCATTATATAGTACTTAAGTCATTACTTATTGGAAAAATCCTGAAACCATCATCTCTTATCTTCTCTAGAATCTTTAATAGCTTGTTGACGCAGTAAGTCCAAACACTTCTACACAGCTTTTAAGAATTTTAATAGTCTAGAATCAGCTTACTTAATGCAATTTCATTTCCTACAGGCACATTAATTTCTAGTTAGGCTATGATTTTCTTGGCCTCTGTCCCTGTACACACACTTACAGACACATACTCCTGCCTCGGTGCTTCTGTCTACCTTGATCTCCAAAACCTCTTCCTATGGTTCCCACAATTCAACCTTGAATAATCCTTTTTTCCAAATTCCACACTCCTTCCAAACCCAACTCACAATCCATTTCCTCTACTCACTACCTCAGATAATTCCAATCCCTCTCTGATCTCCATAATTTGAATTTATCTTATCTTTGGGCACAGAGTAACTATAAAACACAGTGACAGTAGAGTAATAAAATCAGAATCAGTGTGATAAATACCTGAAACAAAAATATAACAATAGTGAGAGAAAAATAACCAACATTTTTTTCTCTCTTTCTGGGGTGAAATTGTTTGAGTTAATAAATTACATAACCTATAGTTGTATAGAGTTCTATAATTGCTAAGGGGTTGCTGTATTCTTCTTTTCATTTGATCCTCACAAGAATTCAAAAGGAAGGCAAGATTGAAATTAGTCAAAGAAGTGAGAAACCAAGGTCCAGGGGACTTGGGACTTACATGTCTTACTTAAGGACACAGAGCTGGTCATGACAGCTATAGGTCAAACTAGTCACTTTCTGACACTTTCTGGCCCCCCAGTTAGAAAATAACAAAAATGGCAATAAACACTGATAAAGTTCTTTTGTGAAAGGAACATAATCTCAACCAAAGTATCAAAACAAAAACTAATTCTCTTCTATACTTAGACCCCTGTTTACTCACATTATTCTAAAGAGTCTAAGGGAGAAGAGCTTAGAGAGGAAGCAAAGCCCTCAAAGAATTCAAGTCATGGTGAATTTGAGAAATCAGTCTACTCAAAGGAATATCGACTGGATCTAGACAGAATAATCAGAATCATCCCTTCAACAGGCCCCAAAGAAATGAGCTACCTTAAGCTTTTTCAAAATGAAAATGAATCAGATGGTATTAGGCTTTTTTATGTTTGCGTAGGCACTGTCCTCCAGGCTGGGTTTGTACCAGTCAGCTCCTTGATCCAAGGAGGAAAAGGGACTAAGCTGGAGGTCATATATAAAGGCAGAGAATCTGGGTTAGTGATATGAATTCATAGACCATCTGGGTCCCCATACTTTTCTGAAGGCCTAAAAACCCTTTATGCTAATTCTTTAAACTACAAGCCAAGATAAGACAAGTATTCTTCCTCCTCTGCTAATCTTTAAAAATCGTATAGTTTTCTACTCAGCTTACAATATCTCAATCAGAGACTAAGCCTTGGCACTGAGCACTCAGTAAATATAAAGACATTTAAAAAAAAAACCAAAACAAAACAATGGGTTTGAGTCATTTGAGACTTACAAAGACAGACAACAAAAGAAAATTTATGGTGCAATTTGTAGTGAAAAAGTCAAGTTAGAATAAATAAGTCAAAACAAGTAGAATTAAAAATTAAATGTTTAAAAAAAAAACAAAAACCTTTTTTAAAAAGTCATATACTCTTGTAATTTTACAATTGGTGAAATTGGTAATCAGTGAAATCATGATGATAAAAACACATTCTTTAATTGGTAGGCCTGGTGATTTTCCATTTATAACTGTTACACACAGATATAATCATATTTCTTCTGGGCATGGCCAATTTCACTTGCAATTCAAATTCCTCAAAGCAGTAAGTAAGGGGGGAAGTGAGAAATGTGGTATTGTGAGCCCCCACCATAGTTTTACCCCCTAACCTCCCTGTCAAAAACACAGTTATATTAGCAGCAAACCAACAAATGTCTTGATTTTATGTTGTCATTACAACAATTTTTAAGAATGCTCCCTTAATTAAAACTGATTGTATATTTTTATGTTAAAACATATATTTCTTTTCTCTTTCAATGTGTAGCTGTTAGTTTCAAAAACATATTGCTCCTTTAAAATATAATTAATTTAAATATTTTCTCAAATATATACATATGGAACAAATAGAAAAGAGAAACATTCTTAGTTACCGTGTCCTATCATGGGCTTGTTTGTAAACAAAAATAAGGCCTACCACAGGTAGATTAATAGAAGAAAATTCTATAAAAAGAAACCATGTTGCATATTACTATGATTCTGGGACAAATCTTACTTTCTAGCTTGTGTCTGGTTTCATGAACAGTTTTGTTCCTCTATTAGATTTCAAGTCCAATGCCATAGCTAGTAAGAGTCTGGACAAAAATTTCTGTTATGAATCAGAGTTTGCATTAACTCTGGAAAAAGGCAAAATAAAAATCATTTCAAACATAAGTCTCAGCATCTTTTATATTTTCTTTATTTTAATAAATTTCTTATAAAAATACCTAAAACTGTGCCTAGCAGAGGATAATCTCATGATAATAAACAACAGCTAATATCTATTACTACCTAGGTCTAAGCAAATGTTTCTTGGAAATAAATGAACAACTGAAAACGAAAGAAGCAGACAACTATTGCCTGTGACAAAAACATTCTGGAAGAGTTAACCTATTTGTTGGTAAGGAATGTGAATAGTCAGAGCAAAGGTTTTAGGAGAAAAGATATATTATTATATATTAATATATTCATTAATATAGTTAATATAATAATATATTATATATAAATAGATGTATATTAAATAAAATACCTTGTTAAATGAATATCACCTATTTATCTTTATTTTTACTGTAGCACCTATAAAACTTAAAATTACATATGAGAGTTATACTATTTCTAATGGCCAAAACTGGGCTGGACAATTATTTGGCAGTCTAACTGCATAAGCCTGACAAAATATAGACCAACCTCCAAATACATCTAGAGCAATGTTTGATAAAGTATGAATAATTTTTGTAAAAAATTTCTTTGTAAAAAATGAATAATAATAATCTCTTTGCAAATGAATGCAAATCTTACATTAGGAATTAGAAATGTGGCTGCAACATCTAAACCATATTCTAGACCTTTGTGGACCAGGCAGACTCTGTCATAACTATTCAACACGAAAGTTAACCATAGACAATCAATAAACAAATGGGCAGGACTGTGTTCCATTAAAACTTTATTTATAAAAACAGGCCAGCTGAATTTGGTCCCTAGACTATAGTTTCTCAACTGCTCAAAACCCATGAACTCAGATTTCAAAATCCCAAAGTGAGTTTTAAATTAACCATGTTTGTCTTAAACAGCAACAGTAAAGCACAAGAAAGGTTCATATCAGCTGGAGAAGAGCAAAGTTGCCTCATTTGGAAAAAGATGGAACACACTAGATGAGACAGAAATGATGAGAAAAGTACAATTTCTTTGTCTCTAGAATAATTCTAATAAAGTTAACAAGAAAAGACTTACATTTAATTCTATTATCCACAGTAATGTTACAAATAAGAGGTCAAAGGTGACAAACAAACAGAAAGTCCTTCTGACATCAGATATGCCTTTCTTTTCCCTTCCTTCATAGGATTCAATCCTGGCCATGAGTTGGGTAGGGTTGATGGAATGGATGTCTCGCAAAGAAGCGTGAGAGCTCTGGCTCCCAGTGAGAGCGTTCTCCATGTCTTCTGTCAGGGGGTTCATCCTGGAGGAGGGTTAAAGGAGTCTTTGGCCAACTTCACCATCCCTAGAAAGAAAAGGTCTTTGGGAATGAAAAAGAGAGAGACATCAATTTAAATCAAAGCTTACCCAACCCATGTGCAACTCCTACCACTCTGCAACTCTTTCTCTAAACGAGCAGGAGTACCCTAAACTGAAGACAATTATGTTTTGATGAAAACATGGAAAGATTGTGAAATGAGGAGCAATTCTTGATGTTATCAATCAATACTATAAAACTGCTATGAAAGCCTAGTAACAAAGAAGAATGCAAATTACCAGCAGTAAAGGGTAAAAACATGATACTGACCACAACTATGAAGTATAATTGATAACCCATACCTAGCCCCTTAGGGAAAAAGTCAAGTCATTTCCCTGGCTGTACCATGGACTAGGAAACATTCATTGAATAGCTTCCCAGAGAGTCTATGTAGCTAGAACTAGAACCAGAATGTGTAAATGTGTTATAAAAAACCTTTTCCTAAAGAGGAACTGTTTTCCACCAAAGGTATCTAATAAACTGAATTTAGCATTTCCCCATCATATCTTAGTAAACAGGTATTTTTCTGGGCTTCTTTTTTGGGCAAGAAGTATGCACATCCCAAGAAGTTCAGCACTATAAATATCCCAATGATAATTATGGACATTAGATCCCTCTTTTAAGAAAAATCTCTGTTAAAAAAGACTGTCATGTTATAATAGTCTTAATTAGATAATAACCTCAACATCTATAAATATGGAAAAATTCTGTAAATCATGATATAGCCACAGTACAGTCATTAAAATAATTTCTCTGAATATTCAATCCTTTGTATTGAGATTCTCATGGGGTTTGGCTTAAGGAAAGCTGTGTCTCTTTAAAGAGGGTGTGAAGTATCAATTAGCTGTACACCAGGAACCGAGGTTCACAATTCAAGATTTATTCCAACCATGATGGATGAGAAGTAGAGTGGAGAATTATAAAAAACATCCCCTTATTGTTTTATGGGATTCATGTCTTGTTCTATAAATATTATTTCTACTACAGCTATAACTTCTATCTCTCTACCTAGCTCTATTATAGCCACATATTTCTATAATCATGCTGCATTTATAAACTACCCAACTCAACAGCTTAAAATCGCCTGCACTTATTATCAAGTTCACAAGTTGGTAGGTTGCCTGAAGGTCAGCTGAACTAGTATGGGCTCAGCTGGGCAACAATGCTTCGGGCTTGCAGAGCAGACCGGTTTCAACTGTGTGTTGGGTTTAGATCTGTTCCCTATATCTGTCTTCCTCTTTGGACCCGTGCTGCCCAGGCATGTTTATTCCATGGGAAACGGCGAGCATACATGAGACAAGCAATATCATATAAACACAATAAAAATATCTGTTCAGGGCCTCCCCTGGTGGTGCAGCGGTTGAGTGCTGGGCTGTGAGGCTGCCCACAGTCTTTGCAGCACCGGTTCATTCCCCGGCCGCCAGCGAGGGGCCCACCAAAAAAAAAAAAAATAATAATAATAATAAAAAAATCTGTTCATATTGGGTCTTCTCACATTTAACTGGCACCTTAAGCCCAAGCCCTAGGGTAGTGCAGATGGAACGTTGTACACCCCAGTGAAAGGGGAGGAGTTAAATAAATATTTGCTCATAATGCCCCAATCTCACATAGTTATGAAAGTTTTGAAATCAAAGTCAACAAACTATAGCCTGAAATAAGGCCTGCTAATTTTAGAATATCAAGCTTCATTAGAATACCACCACAAAAGAGCATTCCTATTCTTTAAGGACCCTTATACATTAAGAGAACAAAGGTAAATATTTGCAATTAAGAACATCTGATTTGCAAAGGCAAATATTTATTTTACTATAAGCTCTTATCTAAAAGGAACTGTTAGCTTGACAAGCTTCTAGAAGGGGACCTGGGTGAGTTTAGTAACTTACATTCACACGAAAGAAGAGACTAAATCACAAATATCAATATTTCTATACTCTAGTTTCTGTGTTTAGCAAAATCTTGTAATACATTCTTATTTTTCCACAGGTTACTCCGCACAGGTTACTTAGTGAAATAGCACCACTTAAGCACAAGTGGTCTTGTCTTCTACTGGCTCTGGCTCACCTGAAGGCTACTTCAGCAGTGCTCAAAACATGAACATGCTATTTTTTGGCTGATTCTCTTTCCTTTTTTCCACACTACTAGAATTGGAGAAATAGTTTACCCAATCTATACTGGTAGATTCTTAAATGATGACATTCATCCCATGAGGAAAAAGAAAAAAGACTAAAAAAAAGGGAAGGCAGTAAAAACTACTATCTTTTCTGCTCCCAAAAAGAACTGTTTACTTTTTTGGGATTCTTCTGCATTAGCACCCATGCTGAGTTGAAAACTGAACAAAAATTTCAGCTCCATCTGCTACAGCACAGAATTGATATACCCACATGGTATACCAGCAGCAGCTTGGGAGCAGTAGCTACCACTGCTAGCATTTTGCAAAAGTTCCAAAATTTCTCACATCTTTCTAGGAGGGGTTGAGAGAGTACCCAATGGTAGTAAATATGGCTTGATGGGCATGTTTTGCTTGGTCTTACATAGTGTTTCTGAAGATTTTTAATAATTATTGATATTTTGAATAATACATTTTTGTATAAAAATCCAGATTTCCTAGTTGTCTTTACCTCTGAATGAGATGAGAAGACACTGAAAGGTTTCCAGTATTAGAGAAATATGTTCCAGCTCATGTTTTAAGAGACCGGGGAAGGAGATAGAAACAGGAGCCCATTTAGGAGACTGCGCACTAATTCAAGAGAGGAGGCACTGACTTAGTAGACTAGAGTGGTGGAAAGCTTGCTGGTTCTAAATACAGAGTCAGAAGCATTTGGTGAAGGGTTGAGATTGAGATACAGAATAAAGGACAGACTAAAAGAGAACTGCCAGATTTGTAGCCTGAGGAATGGAAGAATAAAGTCGCAATTTACTGAAATGGGGAAGACGGAGGAGGGACAATTTTGAGGATAGTATCAATTCAGATAGTATCAATCCACAAAGTGTTAGATGATTAACATCAAGAGGAGATAAGGTAAACATGGTTGGAAATACATGATTATTTTGGACCTACCCATGATTCTCCCTCATTCTGATCTCATTAGTACTGTCAGCTGTCAGCAGATACTAACTCAGAGGAACCATGTTGCTCCTCAGTGCACATATTCTCATGAATATTTAAAGCTTCCTCTTAGAGTTGTGTTGCCGACTATAGCAATGGTGGAGTCAACAGGGTTATTACTATCTAGACAGAGGAAGAAGGTCCCTCAATTAAGGAACTGGAAGTATTTTCCTATTCTATGAGGACATTTCTATAATGCTACTTCTTCAATTCTTACTGAAAGCAATTTTCAAACACTTTTAATTCTCAGCATGAAATTGACAATCTTATTGATCTAGATCTAAAAATCAGTAATATTCATGCAGTGAGTTCACTGCTCGCCTAGAAAGCATAGGGAGGTGGTTAAAAGTATATACCTTTAGTGACTATCTTTCTTTATTTCAGAGATCAGAATTAAGATTGTGTTGATCAAGAATTCTTCATACCCTCCTCCCCAGACCTATTTTCTCTACACAGAGGAAACAAAAGGCAATTCTAAGCAGCCAGATGATAAAAAGGCAGCAAAGCTCAAGTGGCTATTCAGCAGCAAGCTAGGTTTCTCTTCCGTCAACATCAAACACCCCTTTTCTGGAAGAGGAAATATAAGGGTTTCTGCAAATGTCGTAACAATTGACAGACCCCTTGTAAGGGGCAGGACAGGGCACAAGGCAGGTTTTCTGATCCCATGCAGACCGGGTAAAGGAGGAGTCAGAGTCCTCAGTAGTTTTGCAGGTTTTTTATTTGGGGTTCACCAGGCATATGGCAGGCAGGGGTGCTGGCTGGGGGGCTGGGAGGCTGGCAGGCCTCCCAGCCCCCAGCAAGTCCTCACTCTATCTGGGCTCTCTAGCGTTCGTTCTGCTGCTTCTCGGCTTCGGCTTCGGCTTCGGCTTCGGCTGCGGCGGCTGCTGCTGCTGGTGCTGGTGCTGCTGGCGTCCCCCCGTGACGCCGCCCTTAAAAGCACAGTCTTAGCTCAGCTGAATCCCATCTACCTATGCCCACACCCTATTCCAGGTGCCCACCATCAGGCATGCATTCAGGACAAGGATCCATCATCTATCCTGATGGCGGAAGGGCAGAAAAGCCTGATATTTTCTTTACCCTACAGTCCACCCCCTCAGGGTTTTCTGCCATACAGTCTATACATATATACACAATTTTCTAAGCAAACAAACAATGCAGCCATGGCCCACAAAAGCAAATACATCAAATAACAAAATACAACATAACAAAATACAACAGAACACAAATAAGTCCAGGCAGGGCACCAACCAAGTGCAAAAGACAATTATTGGTACCAGCAGATGAGCCACCAAATCTGCTGCCGAAGGCACTGCTCATACGAGGGAGGGGAAATCACACACGGCATCTGCTATAACACACCAGGAGCCGTCAGGCTTCCTGGCCTTCTCTGGCTGTAGTCTCGGCTACAAGGCACACACAGCATCCACCCCCAGGATGCACTAGCTCTGGGATTGGCAATTTTATTCTGTTGGGGGTAATCGCCAACCCTCAGGGTTTCTGTCTGCAGTCGCTCCAACACTCGGCCTTCATGGCCACCCATGCGACTCACAGACCCCTGCTCTCAAGCCAACCCACTGCACAAGCACATGGGTCGGGGATCCAAACTTTGCATTTGGCTTGGGCTCCACCCCAAGCCACATTCCCCACCCGTCCCCCAAGGACGGGCTCCTCAGCTCCTCACCCTCACTCAAGAATGAGCAGGGCATCACCCATAGGTGATTTTACGAGACTCACAGGGCTTCAGCATACCCAGGCTGCTTAACAGCCGCTTTAGGGCTTCTCAACTTAGCATCAGTACCAGCTTTTGCCACCTTAGTTGGCTTTTCTCCTCCACCTGGCCACTGGGCATACACAGGCTGCTTTTGGCCATCTAGGCCCACTGGCCACCCCCAGATTCTCAAAAAATAAACATAACCTGCTAAGGTCCTCCGCCT